TGTTGCAGTCGAGGCTCTGGGGAGGCCCGTCCACGTGTGTGTGCTCGGGATGTTATATCAGGCATTTTTCAAAACTTTTTTACGTGTTGTGTGTAGAAACAAGCTCGATTGACTCGCAGGTCAAAAGCATTCCTCTGAAAACCGTCAGGCACAAGCAGCCAATCGCCAAGGAAAACAACTAAAAGACCTTCAGAAAGTCTGGAAAACTATTGCCTAAGAAAACGTTGATAAAAATAAGGAAATGAAGGGTGGCTCAAAAGTTTGGCAACGTACTCTCTGTTCAGTTTCTATAACAATAAGACCTTAAGATTTATAAAAGACATTAAATTCACGCTTTCTTGCTTGTTGTCGACTTCAGAAAAAATGTACCCAAAGAAAAAAAAGAAAACCCAACAATCATGTTGGGTTTTTCTCCGTGTGTGTTATTGTACCTTACAACATAAAGCACATTGAGGCGCCTGTTGCTGTGATTTGGCGCTGTATAAGTAACTGAATTGAGTTGTGCCTTGTCCCCAGAGTCACCCGCTTTCCTTTTCTCCCCCCAACCCAGTCTATCAAGAGAGATTTGATCCTGACACCGAAAGGCATCTATCTGATTGGCCGAGAGAAGGTGAAGAAGGGACCCGAGAAAGGACAGATAAAGGAAGTACTAAAGCGGAAGATGGAGTTTGGAGGCATCAGCAGTGTCTCTCTCAGGTGTGTATCTAATTAACACAGATTCATTACTAAAATCTCTCATTTTTATGTAGCCTGTGTATGTTGTTACTGCTGCTGTTGCTGAAGTGAAAAATGTAACTGCATCCTCTGCTCTCTTCTTGCTGCTATTTTAACGCTTCCTTGAATGTCTTTCAGTGTTTCAGTTACCCGCACTGCTTCCTCTTTCTGTTTTTAAACTTCAGCAAGAGTGAGTTCATGGTATTTTTTTTTCCTTCTTAGTACGAGACAGGATGATTTCTTCATCCTCCACGAAGCCCAGTATGACAGTTTGCTGGAATCCAACTTTAAGACAGAGTTCCTCAGTTTGCTTTCCAAACGCTACGAGGAAGTGACAAAAAGAAAACTGACAATCTCCTTCGGTGACAGGTCGGTAGAGGAACACACAGCCTTTGTTAGCATGAGAAAAACACGCAGGGGTGACTAACGCAGGTTCTTCTTGCTTCAGGCTGGAGTTCAGAGTGAAGAAGGAGGGCTGGGGTGGAGGAGGCACCAGAATAGTAGTGTTCCAGAAAGGCCCTGGAGACGTGGCCCAGCTCAAACCTGGAGGGAAGACCCTGTCTGTCACAATAGGAGATGGTCTACCCAAATCCTCCAGTAGGTTAAAATAAGTCATGATGCCGTATAGACTTGAAAAAAGTAGGAACAAATTTAAATAGTAAATAAAATGCTGCCTGTATAAGCATCCTAACTGTCCCTTCTTTTGATTAGAGCCAACCAGGAAGTCGTTTCCTCCGTCTTCCGGTGGAGGAAGAGGAGGAAGAAACCACGTAGCGCCCAAATGTAAGCCACTACTCACCTGTGATCCTCACCTGTGGAAAAACCCTTCCCAGTGGCTCAAAGTAACTAAATAGGAAGTGTGGATGTACTTATTGAAACATAAAGTACTGCAGTATTTACACTCTGTTGCATTTTGATTAACTTTTCAGCTGTTTCAATCATAATCCTTTTTACTTTGTTTATTGAACAGCCGATTGCTTACTTTGTACATCTAGGTCGTAAATAAAAGCTCGTTCAGTACGACATATGGCTGCAGTATGTGAAGCTGTAAAACAATAAAGCAGCAAAGGCACCAGTGATAACAGTCGTGTCATGTAACACTGAAATGGGCCGTTCTGAGTCTTTACCGTCGTACTGCTGCTCTGTTATTGAAGCACACGCTTCGTTCTCTCTCCTCAGCGCATCAGAACGGTGGAGCCAAATTCCCCAGAGGTCCTCATAACCCACAAGCCGATATCACGTATTCCTCCCCGCAAAAGCAGGGCCGACCACTCCAGGGAGGCCCGCCCAAACTGGGATCCCAGAGGGGCCCCCGACCTCCAGCGCCAAACCAGTATAATCAAGGAAACTTGGACTTCCTTAATGTGCCTGATCAGGGCATGTCAGGGTAAGACATGTTTAAAAAAGACATTAAAAAAGAAAGGAAGGTGTGGTTTGTAAGGGATTACCAAGGTGAGGCTGAAACCTGCAAGTAACTGAAAGTTAGAGCGAGGCAGAGAAACCTGTTTGTTTTTCACTGAATTACTGAATCATCTCTTCCATACTAGATGCTGTTTCGCTGGTTTGGGGGGGGAGGGGGTGTTCTGGGAACAAAGCAGTTCCTACCAGCTGCACTCAGAGGCGGGTCAGAAAGTCTGGTTAAATAAATGTTGGGGTTGAGAGAGATTTAAACACATTAATTCCTTAATTCTGGGGAGAAAAATCACGACAGCCTCTCTTTAATCCATCCAGGGTGTGGCGCACGCTGTTGGCTAAAGTCAAAGACTCTGTCAACGACAACAACACCCTGCTTTTATGTTTGTTTGTTTTTCAGCTGACGGTCTGTTATTCTGACCGCTGCTTTTTTGGGATACGGATGAGACCGGACTGGGATGAGTCCTGAGGATGTTTTAGCCGAGACTAGTGCTGGTTTGCAAAGTTGACTGACTGTGGTCTTAAACTGGATGCTGCATTCTGCTAAAAATGAATTATTAAAACAATCAGTAGTTAGAAGGAAACTGAACAGCTGATTCCTCAGAGGCAGCTATAATTAAGCCCAACTTTAAGCCTTTTAAGGGGTAAATTTTACAGAAATTACCTCTCATACGGAGAACAAAGGGGATAAATATCTACAGAGAGCAAAACATATTTTTTCCTGTTGTAAATTTAGATATTTTAACATGAGACTTTATTGGGATTGACTCGCTTTTAGAGCCAGCCCCCAGTGGCCAGCTGAGGAACTGCAGCTTTTGGCACTTTTGCCATTTTCAACCCACGCGTGACAGTTAAAAGTTAATTTGATTCATGTTAGTAAATAAATAAGATGTGAATAAATTATGGTCATGAGCACCTCCTTTTTCCCCCTTTGTCACAGGAAGCAGAGGAAAATGAGCATCCACCAGCGACCTCCTCCTGCTCCTAAACCGCAGCCTCGACCTCAGGGTCCTCGCTGCCGGGCGTTATATCAGTACGTCGGCCAAGACACGGATGAGATCAGCTTCGAGGCCAATGATGTATTAGATCTTGTCAAAGAAGGTGCGTGCACGAAAGCAACGACATGTAGGGAGATGCATATTGATGAGATAGACTGGAAGTGGTTCATGACGTGTTTCTTTACCGTTTCTCTCCGCAGACCCCTCAGGCTGGTGGACGGGCAGAATTGGAGGGAAGGAAGGTCTCTTCCCGGGTAACTATGTGGAAAAGATTTGATGAGAACCTTGCGAACGTGTCTGTGTTTGCTCATAAACAGATGTAATTCAGCACATTCAGAAACTGCCTGCGAGTTGTTCACGGATGCATCGGGGCTTTCAAAGGGTCGAGCTCTCTGATGTTTGAGCCCCAGCTAATTTACCCGGCAGCGTGCCGTAGAAGCAGAACACATGAAGGATTACTCTTGGGTTTATTATCGCTAAAGCACAACTGCAAATAGCTGCTCAGGTTCCATCTTTGTCTTGGTGTCAAACAATCCCGTTGAGAAAGAAACCAGCGAGGTCTTCGACGTCACCTCTGACTGGTTCCTCCACGACTCAAAGTTACGCCGAGTGAAGGCGTGACAGAAGAGCAGCATGAAAATACTGCATCGCTTCCTGATGTTTACACTGTTTTATCTGCCTGAAGCTTTCTTCACGATCAATGACGACCACTTCTTTTGATTAAGTCAACAAGCGTCTAATCGAGTGATAACAGACTTTTGAAAATACTGATGATGATGATGCTTTTGCTCTGAAACTTCAGATCAAATCAAAGCCATTAAGAGGAGCAACATTTTAATGTCAGTTATCTTTTTTATACTCTGAATTTTTTTACTGATATTTCTCGTGGTATTTTCTTGTATTTTCGTTTTAATAAAAAAAGGAAAAAACTTTTATTTCCACGTTTTTACCTCGGGGACTTTTGCACGTGTTTGTTTTGTGTTGCCAGTAAGTTAGAAAAACATTTGTGAAGAGCAGAACACAAAGAAAGAGATGGATGAACTTGAATGTGATTATTTTGGCCAGCTTTGTATTTTTATTTCAACTTGTGGTGGATTTTTGTAAAATATGTGATTACTTTCAGTCATTTTGTTCAGGATTTTTTTATGTGAATGAGAAGATTAAAATAAAGATTTTTCTTTCAGTTGTTATAAAGTTTGACATGTTTGCTCACAAAAATAATATTATGCCTGTTCTGAAACGTAGCTCTAAAGAAAAAGCTCCCAAAAGAGATTTCCTGTTCCTACAAGTAGTATTGTGATATCTGCTCACTGAGGTACACGTTGCTGGTATTAGTTGGACCTTTTTTGCCAGCTTTAATTCTTAAAAACATGGAGGCACTGATAGATGCACAGATTGTGCAAAGATCTAACCAAAATAATAATCAGCCAGTCAGCTGCTGCAAACAGGCCACAGCACAGATCTTTAACCTGCGTCTCAGCAGCTTCGTTTAAAGCTGCGCAGCCTGCAGTAATTGGATTGGCCAAAGCCTCCTGATTGGTGCTGCGCCTATTTTTCTCTAAATTGTGAGAGAGATTACCAGCTCATCTGTCTCAGATTTCGTCGTAGCGGTTTGTTTTTTTTAACTTTACAGATCATAAACACTTCTACAGGTGATAAAAAACGAAATCACACTGGAGCCCATTGATTTCATCGCGGATTTGTTTGAGACTCAAACTGCAGCAGCACAGTGTCACAGTACTGCCCAAAAGAGTAAAAATGCATGCACTGAAAAACCGTAACATAAGAAGACAACGTGTAGCCTGGGAGACCGACGAGTACTTTTCGGTAATATTAGGTGACTCTCCGGTAACTATTTGTAATTTAATACACGAGTACTTTTTTCCAAACAATTTCTATCGCAGGAAACGTTATTAAGCCAGTGTGCGCAGTTAATGCTTTCTTTGTTTTGAGTTAAACCATATGAATGCAACTATTTGGAGTTTCACCTTCAAGACTCGGCGTGTTCCCACCACACCTGCTCCCCCGCTGCAGGATTATGCTTTTATTTTGAAATGCGGCAGATTTGGTTGAACCTCCTTTAGGAAAAACCTGAGATTCCTCAGACAGGTGCAGCAGCTACCTGGAACACCTGTTACGGTTTTGCGTGTTTCTTTTCAGGTTTCCTCTGAACCCTCCAGTCGCCTGTCGTGTGTTTACAGCCCGTTAAAGGTTTTTTTGCCCCACATGGTCGTTTCTACGTTACCCGTTACTGCTGAGTAACCGGTTCCTGCTCTTTCCCCGGGGCCTGGTAAACTGTCAATGAAGAAAGAAAAACAAACGAGCTCATTCCAGACATTTTCTCTGTGATGACATATTGTCCCAGAGATTTGAAACCTTTTCGCGTGACCGTCAGTGACGTTACTGGGCTCGTGCTTCGGGATCGCGAGCGTTTCAAAACCCCGCCTCGTTAAATCCACCTGTTGCAGCACCTGGAGCAGAGCAGCAGTGCCGGGCTGCAGGACGACAGCATGGCAGGTAAGAGCCGGTTTCCCATTGAACACCCTGTGATGAGAAAAAAAATAAACTTTTTAATTATTGGGACACTTTTTTTTTGTCCAAATATTCATATTTCGGACAAAAAGGTTTTTCCCTGTCAGGAAAACTCCGATGTTTATTCCTCAGGATGGTAATAAATAGTGATTTACTGTTACTTAATATATTGTGCTCAACTACTTTCTCGAAGTACTTGTACTTTATGCTTTTACTTCATCACCTTTACTTAATGACCTTTGAACTCAACTGCCTATTTTCCTAGTCTAGGTTATTCATACGAGTTCTAATCAACAGATAAACTGGGAGTTGTTTCTATAGATAATATTTTTCTTTCAGTGTTCAGTCGCCTGAATTACACTGTAGTACATAACAGAGTGTTATGCAGTAATATGTTAGTATTCTGACATCGATTGTTCTGGAAAACAAGTACATATATGATGAGACTTGTAATATTTCAATAGTATTACAACTTGTACTTAAAGGCGGAGTACTTCTTTTCCCATCGGTAACCACTTTATTAGGTACACCTATAAACTCTGTATTTCAGTGCAAACTCTGAAATAAGTTTATTGACACTGTTAAAAATCTGTAATTCAGATATCAACATGAAGGGTGGCGTTCTGATGACGACTTCCTGTTTAGGCTGCATAATAAACTGAGTACTTTTGAAAGCTCCAGGTAATAATTTGCTGTAGCAAATATCCAGATTCAGTAGAGACTGAAATGAGCGGCCTTGGCCTCTGTGGATATAAAAGTCATTGGGAAAATTTTAGTCCCAGTTTCGAGGCCATACTGAGGTTTAAAAGCAATTCCAGCTCAAGTCCAGTGTGTACTTTTGTGAATGTGAACCCCCCTCCCTATTTACACTGTAAGTGTAAATAAAAGCCATATAATAATGATGCAATAAATCAAGTCCAACAAATACTGTGAACCAGGCACCATTCACACACTGCGCCACATCTGACAGCCTTCTAGGAAAGATGGCAGGTTGTGTTTTAATAGCACAGATGTCGTGCAGCGCAGGTTAAAACAGCCGTGGAAGTGTGAAGTGTCCTCATCCTACGCTAAAGTGAACCAGCAATTAAAAGGGATACAACTATGGAAATGAACTTACTGTAGTACCAAAGAGGAATCTGATATTCAAAATGACAAAAGTCCGAGTTTTAATGACCTCTGATTTAACTGGATCGTGTTGGTGTGGTGCACTAATGCTTACAAAACATTAACCATGGAGCAAAAAGTCTGTTTGTGTATACGGCGCCATTTTTATCATGTCATAAAAATATAATAAAAGTGGAGCAACGTACGCTGTCGTCTGAATCGGTCACATTTTCTGGGCTGTTTGTAGGACGTTGCTGAACATGCTGTCCGGTTGCATCGTGGGAGATGTAGGCGCCAGCAGGGACTGACATTTAAGTGAAATTGTAAAAGGGTGCGATTGGCATTTGACTGCTGGGTGGAGGGGATAATGATTTCCATAAACCACATATACAAACACCTTAATTTGACTACTGAAAAATGCAGGTGTGCTTGTTACACCAGAGTCAGCGGCCACTCTTGTCCCTGCGTCTCTCAGGTGTTCACTCCGGCGAGGGGATGGCGGGAGTTTTCTCCTATGAGAGTTCAGAAATCGACTGGTGCGAAGACAACTACAGACACTCTGAGCATGTGGTCGAGTCCTTCAACACGGTAAACTGAAAGCTTTTTATTCAGGAGACACTTGCAGTGGCGCTACCAGCCCAACAACTGCAACTCAAAGCCACACTTTGGACTGGTGATCGATTTAATGTTTTCCCTGCAGATGAGCAGCTTCATTTTCTTCATTATCTCTCCCATCATGCTCTACCTTCTGCACCCATATGCCAAAGAGAGGAGCTTGGCGATCCACCTGGTTTGGGTCATGATGATTTTTGTAGGTCAGTCCTTTCTTTCTTTATTTATTTAAACCAACTTCAGCCGTATGTCTGCAAAATAAATCCACGAAATGTTTTGTGTTTGTGAAACAGGCTGACTCAGTATAGATGAAATAGATATCACAAGAAATGTGTTATCAAGTAGGAAGATCTGTAGCAGATGTTTGAAGCTTCTCTGAACTGACTAGGTTTTCTTAAAGCTTATGACACTAAAAGAAATACTTATTAGTTGCAACAGTAGCCGAACCAGTTTAACCAGTATGCAAGTTTAAATGTAATAACTAAAGCACGAGAAGAGAAGTCAGCTGCAAACTGGAGCTCTGCATGTCTCCCCTGCACTGCTCTTAACCATCTGTGAACGTGCAGTAACACGTCTCACTTTACCCGTTTTATACTTGTCTTCGCCTATAAAATCCTAAAAGCATGAATAATTCGACATCATTCTCTCGTTCTCTCTTCTTTGCAGGGCTGTTCTCGGCGTACTTTCACATGACTCTTAGTTTCGTCGGTCAGATGTTGGACGAGCTCTCGATCTTGTGGGTGTTGGCGGTCGGTTATGCCGTCTGGTTCCCTCGCAGACTCTTCCCTTCTTTTATAAAAGACAGGTATGTCGACCTTGTAACCATTAACCCAGCGACAGATGACTGATCTGTGTTTCGACAACTTAGTCCAAGGTCTTTGTGTCCGGCGTTTATTCGTGCCTCTGCGTGTTTCTAAGGAGATCAGTGGTCTTTCAGGATGATGCAAAACAATAACAGAGCGTTTCCAACACATGCCACTGTGAAACCTTATCCCGGCCGGACGAGGAGCCAGTTTAACAGCTCAAAGGTTCGTCATTGTCCCAAATGTGGTGGTTCAGTCTTCACCTTGATGGACACGGGGCTGTAAAAACAGAGCTCCACCTAACCTGTGTAAATATTTAAACTGCAAGGTGCGACAGGCGAATGAACATTTGATGTGTGAAACAATCCCCCTGGCATCAATAACCTCACAGTGATTTTCCAGTGTTTGATCCAGTGGGTTGCTCCTCCCGAACAGCCGAGGCCGCTGTGATTGCAGGGAAGTCTAATCGTGACGTTTTTATCATTTTGCTTCTGTGTTTTTGAATCAAACAGTATGACTGTGTAATTATCCACATAACCCCATTTTCAAAGGCTCAAGAGTCACTGGACCAACTAATGTCATTTATAATATAAGGATTGTTTTTAATATTTGGATGGAAATGAATGGGCAGCACGGTGGCACGGTGGTTAGCACTGTTGCCGCACAGCAAGAAGGTCCTGAGTTCAATTCCAACATCAGGCCGGGGGCTTTCTGTGTGGAGTTTGCATGTTCTCCCCGTGTTTGCGTGGGTTCTCTCCGGGTACTCCGGCTTCCTCCCACCGTCCAAAGACATGCAGCTTGTGGGGATAGGTTAATTGGTTAATCCAAATTGTCACTAGGTGTGAATGTGCGAATGAATGTGAGTATGAATGGTTGTCTATCCCTGTGTGTTGACCCTGTGACAGACTGGCGACCTGTCCAGGGTGTACCCCGCCTCTCGCCCTATGACAGCTGGGATAGGCTCCAGCGCCCCCCGCGACCCTGAAAAGGACAAGCGGAAGCGAATGGATGGATGGATGGAAATGAAGTCTAGAACTCATAGATGTCACCAAATATTGTGCTTTCTCCCTTGAGATGCTCTTCCAGGCTTTCACTGCAGCCACCTTCAGTCGCTGCTCTGTTGTGTTGACATGGTGACTGGCTTGGCTGTTGAAGAATAGTCATGATCCATTTGCACTACAAACACTGTGTGAGCAGAGAGTACAGCCCTGCACGCTTCACAGTTCGTTCTGCTACTTCTATCGGCAATCACGTGATCAATAAACGCCAGTGACAGCTGTGCAAGCGCTTAGATGTTTTCCTGTAATGTAGCCTTTTTGTTCTTGAATGTAGCCGTGCTGGACGCCTTGTTGCAAACTTACTGTATTTCCATTCATGAAGGCATGTCTTGATATTAGACCTTTACCTTCAGTGGTCTTTCAGGCCTTTTCAGGCATTGCTGAACTGGCCGGATTGTTGATTTGGCCACTCGTAAAGTTTCTTCACTTGCATCAACATATCTTTGACCGTCACATTAAGAAAGAATTCCTGTTAAAAGCTCCCAAATGATAATTCAACACTGAGACTCGACTCCAGTTCTTATATCTGCTGAATTTGTCACGACGTAGCCGAGAAACCAGCCTCACCTGGTTCACCTGCTTGTCAGCTACTTGTCCAGTTACTCACGAGCCTCTGATGACAGCGGCCGCGTATAAAAATGGCAGGACTTTGGTTCAAACTGTCCAACTAAACCTGAAAGTCCACGTTTGAATGTTTTATTTAAAATCTGCATTTAAAAGCTGCATCCTTGTCCACAAACGTGCAGCCCTGACTGTAAGTCACAGAGCTCAGGTGAATGAGTGCACATCGCTGCTCCTGATCCTAAAGAAACAGTTTTTATTCAGGACTTTTTCTGCAAATTCTGTCTTTTATGAATGTATACAAAGACAAATTCTGTTAAAAGGCAGAGTTGGGAATTAGCTGTCGAGTATAGCAGGAATCCACATACAACACAAAATTACTTTTGGACCTGCGTTTATCAGGTAATCACAACTTTAGATAAAAAGGCCTCCCAGTTATTGCACACGAAGAATGCTCAATGACGAGTTTATTTATTAGAAGTGTGAGTATAGGGAGGACAACCTGTTTTTCAGGTTTTCTTTCATGGTTTGCTAGACTGCTGTAACAATCATGTTTATTCACTTTGCACCCATCCAAACCAGCCTCACAGAATGCTTTACACAAAGCATGTGGTGAAATCAAACCCGTGAGTCCGTACGGGCTGGAGTACGATGCCAAAATAAAACTAAACGTCTGTTTCAAGTCTGCTTCAGGTGCGTGTTTATTTCCGTCTCTGTGCGCTCCAACGCAGATCCACGTTTTCAAAGCTCGTCCTGGTGATCACGGTCATCAGCTCTGTGTCGTCATTCATCAAACCTACGGCCAACGCCTACGCGTTAAACTGCTTCGGCCTCCATCTGCTTTACACTCTGATTACGGAGATGAAATGGTAAGAAAAAGACACGTGAAAACCTGATTGTGCACTTTGCCGTTTGATTTCCTGCGATCATCCATTTTCCGTCATTCTCAGCTGCACTGACCAGAAGGCTCTGCGACTCGCCAAGCTGTCGATCGCTCTGTGGGTGCTCGCCATCTCCTGCTGGCTCGGTGACCGCTTTGGCTGCAGCTTCTGGCAGAGGATCAACTTCTGCTACCTGCATGGTTTTTGGTAAGTCCTGGCTTCCCGTTCATTTCTTTTATTTCTTTATCTTCACTTGTCTGCATGTTTGTTTCATATCAACAAGATGAATTACTGTCTTGATGCATGCTCAATCATCCAGGTCAGTAAATCCCAAAAAGTTGATTCTGTTGTCAGTGGGAGAAACGTTTCGTCATACAGGGGACGTCTTCAGTCTCAGCTGACTGCAGGTTTCCAACCTTTTAAACAGGACATTTGCATAATGACTGAAACCAGCCCACTGAAGGAACGATGGGCTGTGAGCTCAGTTCCTCGATCATCAATCAAGAGATGCACCCTTAGGCCCCTCCTCCATTCAGAGATGGTCTTTCCCTTTTCACATTAATGGCCTCCTTGACTCCGCGCTCAAACCAGCGTTCCTCCCTGTCCAGGATGTTACATCCTCCTCCTTGAAAGAGTGATCAAGGAACTGACCTCACAGCCCATCGTTCCTTCAGTGGGCTGGTTTCAGTCATTATGCAAATGTCCTGTTTATAAGGTTGAAACCTGCAGTCAGCTGAGACTGAAGACGTCCCCTGTATGACGAAACGTTTCTCCCACTGAAAACGTCCTGATGAACAGAATCAACATTCAGATGAATTCCTGAATGAAAATGAAAAGATGAGTTTACTGTAACATTAGATCAGCGTTTGCAAACTTTGGTACCGTGAACCCCGACCTCCAGTCTTGGGATCGTTTATCCACCGTGAACGCATCATGAACAGGCCCCATTTTTAGGACAAAAATGGTTCGTGTCTTTGTGTTGACCTTCGATTTATCCGTCCTTCAGGCACATTCTGATTGTGATAGCTGTAGCCTACGGCAGCACGCTGATAGCCTACCTGGATGCCAACTACGAGATACCGTACTCGCTGCCTGGACTGCAGTACTGGCCCTGTGATAGATGGGCTGTTGGATTACCTCACATCGTCCTGAAAGGCAACTCCAAGACTGAGAAACGGTGCTGACGACGTGAAAATCTAATTTAACTCTGAAAGAACATTTCTGTTAGTTTACTCAACTTCTGCAATCGTGAAAAAGATCAATACCTGCTTTTCGCCTTCTTACCAAAAGCACATCACCACCAACGTTGTCAACCCCCCAAACCTGACTGACACATATTTTAACACTCGGGTTAACGCTGGACGACAAATAAACCCCGTCCGATCCTGAAAGTGTATTATTTTAAACCATGGCAGGATAACTGAATGTGTACAGCGTGCAAACGAAATCATCGAGGTTAGAAATCCCTCAAATCCAGAGTCAGACGGGGTAAGAGGAGGGGGGTTTCCAAAGCTTCCTGCACTGCAAGACAGTATAACAAGAAAAGATGGCACGTGTGTTTTGCTTTTGCTACTTTAAGCTTTTTAAATTAGTTTAATTTATTTAAAACATGAAAATGAAACAAGACTTGTTGTAATATACAACACCTCTGGAGGGCGCTGTATAAAGCACAGTGTAAATGCGTCAGTGCAACGATTTAAAACCAATAAAGTGTAAAGCAGTGTCAATTTATATATTTAATCAAGGTTAAATATGTTACTTACACTTATGTAAAGTATGAGTTTATAGTTATTTTCATTGTTAGCTATGCAATCGCCTGAAATACAGTAATTAGTGTATCAATTACATGGTCACAGATTACTTTTTAGCCTTTAAATTCATATTTCTAACACAGAAAGGGCACTACTTTAACTGGAAACTTTGAGCTTTATTTATCTTTTCAACGCATGATTGTTTTATTTAAACACTTGCTTGAACAGTAAAAGCTATAATTGTAAATTAGTGCTGGAAACAGAGCCCTGTGACTGCAGAGGGTCAAAGATGGCTGAACTTTTGTGGATGTGCACGTGATAAAAGTGCGGTTTTACTGAAACATGTTTCACCTTTTAAGACAATGAGCTTTATAAATCCGTGTGCAGTGATCTTTAATGTTGGACTCATGTAAATGCTCTTACTTTGTTTATCAGGATACAGATGCACTGTGACTGTATGTTTTGTTATGATAAAATTATTGCTTTACCAAGAGGGCAAAAAAACGAATCTTGGCTTTAAGTGCTACAGAGAAACGTGTTTACATTAAAAATACCTCAGTGTGTGACACCGGTGCGCCCCGTCCTCGTGGCTCGTAACCTGCGCTCAGTTTTGTCCCATTTTCAGTCACTAAAATGTTTCAGTTCATAAACTTAAGTTATCTCTCTGAGCCGTTTCACTGGGGAAATGCTGCTGAAATATGACTCTACAGTTCATAACACAAGCCAGGCTCAGAGCAGCCTGTTACACGCCTCTTTGCTCTTTTGTTTTTTCCTTAGGTTGAGAATAGCAACCATAGATCATTTATGTAAACAAATACAGGCATCGTTTTCATTTTAGTGTGCAACACTGACCTCGTGTGGATGAAGAGACGACAGCAGGTGACGGCTTGCAGCCAAGTATCAGAGAAGCATTAATTTCCTTCACGACAAAATAAATTCTCGTGTAGCTTTTTTTTTCCTGACTGAAAACTCTCCGTTCACTTACAGAAATGTTTGTGCACAAGTCGAGGGTCACCAGGATTTAAGAGATGAGGCTAATCACTAATCAGTATGGACTTTTCGACTTCACCATGATATGGGATTTTCTTTTTCTTTTTTTTTTTGTTTGTTTTGTAATATTTGAATCTTTTCTTTTTTTCTTTTGGTTCAGCTTTGTTAATGAAAATTTCTCAGATTGAAAAAACGGGAGCAATAATTTACCTTTACTGAAACGTCCCACGGCTAATGTCCAAACAAAATCCAAAGAAAGGTTAAGATCAGCTGGGTTAGATCATTTATTCAGAGAGATACTTTATGTTTTCTGGAAATATATTTGTGCAGATTTGATATAAATTCATCTGTAATTTAAATAAAGATCTATGTTACCTGAGTGAAATCTGTGGCTCATTGTTTCTGGTTGTCTTTGAGTCTCCTGCGACATTTCTGGTTGGTATCTGAGAGTCTGTGTCTGACAGCCAGATGGAATTTTCTTCCTCAGATTTAATTGAGAGGCAGGCTGGATCAGTTTGAGTGGAGGGAGACGAAGAGGAGGCACCAGCTTGGTGAGAGAGTGGTGACCTTCTGTCTGGCCGAGGCCCCGGTAATCTCACTTCAAAGTCCGAGCACCGCAGAGACTTGACTGTGGTGAGCCTTCATTCCCATCTGTATGAAAGAAGAAGAAAAAACAGTTTTCTTTGTCAGATGAAACATGACATGGACATCTGAGGCAAAGTAATGTGACCTGTTGAGCCAGGGGTAACATGCATTTGTCGACTGAAATGCAAACTGTCAGGATTTTTGATTAGTATGTTAAAAGTGTTATAAATGCAGGGCTCCAATGTTCCCATGTTTATTATTACCACATCACATGATATTAGTACTTCTACACTAAGGGGTCACGTGCCAGAGTGGCTGATTAAACGAGAGAAAGAATGTATGCAGGAAGTGAGATACGAGCCAAAGATGAGACGGAAAAAAAGAAATCAGGAGAGCGAGTGTGACCTTCTGAACAGGAAGCCAGAAGTCTGTTTCCTCACTGGGTCCTTGGGAGCCATGAGTGTATTTTAAAAACACTACATTTATTTGATGGTTCTGACGATGTTGAAGAGATTGTGAGTTTGTGGGTCTCAGTGACATAAACACTGAAGAAGTGTGTTATTGAGCTTTTCTGTTTCGTGTTTTTGCAAATAACCTCCAGGAGTCGTCATTTACAACAAAGATAATGTTCCTTACAAAAAGCGATCACTTTATACAAAAGAACTGAGAATCAAAAGTAGCTCATGCCTTCCTCCATCAGCCCAAACCGCTGCTTGTCTGTCTGTCTCTCTGTGTTACCTTGTGTTGGACTGGTGCACCACACCTCTTGCACTAGAAACTGGAAGAGGGTTCCCAGGCGATTTAAAAAAAAAATAGAGGGATCTATTGAAGTATCATGGTTTTCCAATATAATTTTATAAGTTTCATATAGTGTTGAGTGTTTGTGATGTCAGATTGGAAGTGAATGGGAGTAGAAAGAAGAGCACAGAAGAACTGGGCGGAAGGCGGAAACAAAATCTGCAATATGTTGGATAATTTTCAGCATTTCACTTTGGGAATACACTCACTGGCCTCTTTCTGGGTACACCTCACTGGTACCAGGCAGGCTCCTGAATTCTTCATGGTACAGATTTAACACCATGCTGGAAACATTATTCATTTTGGTCCATGTTGACATGATGGCATCACATTGTTACGTCGACTATCAAAATCGTCGATGACTAATTTAATAGTCGAGGCGTCGTTTGAAGCTTTGTAAGATCCCAAAAGACGCAGGAATAAGTAGCAGGATTTAAGAGTGTAATAACGGACTGAAACAGAAGATGGCAGCACTGCATGTACAAGGATGCCAGCTGCCGTTAAACCCCGAAGAAGAAGTAGCTGTGTCCCAGTCAGAATTCATAGCGCAGCCCAGCCAGTGTTGCCAACTTAGCGACTTTGTCGCTATATTTAGCGAGTTTTCAGACCCCTTAAAAAAAGACGTGAAAGCGCTACTCTCAACAAGCAGCGGGTGCTGTAACGCAGTCAGTTCTTCTTTTACTCTTTTACTCTTATGCTGTTTTGTGGATCACAAGGTTTAAAACTACTTATAAACACACAAAGTAACTCCACCAGAGCGCCTATTTCGGGTCACTTTTGCCGGTCCAAGCCCGGGTAAAGGAGCAGGGTTGGAATTGTGACATTAAAAAAAAAAAAATAATTGCTAAAAGAAATTTAATTTGTAGTTCTAAATAAACTCTAAATGCATTTAGGACGTTTTTTACTCACTTTATGTCTCTTCCACGATGTTATTTCTCTCTCCAACAACATAGGTTAGATTAGGATGACCAATTATGCAAATTAGGCGATGACGTCTTTAGCGACTTCTAGGACAGCCAATAGCGATTTTCCTTACTGAGGAGTTGGCAACACTGAGCCCAGCTCAGTTTCCAACAATGGCGGCAGCTAGTTAGTTTTAATGTTACTCTTATTATTCTTTCTGGGTCACAAAATAAACGTTTAACATATTTTCAGGCGAGAATGTAGCTGTGTAAACCTCAAATATCTGCTCAGTTTATCAAGACACCGCATATTTTCAAAAGCGCTCCGACGTTTTCGGAGACGTCTGTTACCCACTAGCTCGATAGTTAGCCGGGGGCAAGGTCACTAGAGCGGTGAGAACACCGGACTCCCGGCAAATCGTTTTCAAACCCACCGCCGTCTTTCGCTACTCAGGTTAAACATGATATATGAGTCACTTAGATAACTTAAAATGTTATTGTTTGGCTTTTTTTAGTATTTTATTTGTTCCTGAGTAAATCGGTTTGGCTGAGATTAAAGTTATAGTTTTTACACAGCTGAATAAACATCAAGCAGACAGCTGATTATCAGAAGTGTGAGATGCTCCAGAATATACTCCGGTGTCCTGTTATATTTTAGATAGCAAGGAGTTTATTAAACTTCACCGAAACAATCTGCAAATTTCATTAAAATTTAAGGAAGTCAGACTTGAATTTTGAAATGAAATTATACCAAACTTTTTTTTTAGAGAATTTGGCTATATTCCATTCAACACAGTGCAAATGGCTTGTAACTGAAAAACTAAAATGTACAAAAATGGTCCCAGGGCCTCAGAAGGGTTAAACTATCATCTTGTCTTTATTTTTAGTTAGCACAGACCTTAAACACTTCAAGCTGTAAGCTAATGATAGTTATATAAGAGCAGATGCTGCCGGTGCAATAAGCTGTACTTTTACGTCCAATGGATGATGATCTGATTAGTCGACTAATCGCAAAAATAATCTGTGACTAGTCGACTATCAAAATAATCGTTTGTGGCAGCCCTACTCCACATCCATAATGCAACACTTCCACCCCACCACATCCCAAAGGTGCTTGACTGGATTAAGATCAGTTTTGTCCTGATTTGATTTGAGCTTTGCGACATCGTGAGATTATCCTGCTGGAAGTAGCCGTCAGAAGATGTGTACACTGTGGTCGTAAAGGGACGGACGTGCTCAGCAGCAGTACTCCTGCACCATTACACCACCAACAGCAACCTTACCTGATGATACAAGACAGGATGGATTCATTCTTTTGTGAATTTACACCAAATTCTGACCCTGCTGTCTGACTGTCACAGCAGACGTCAAGACTAATCAAACCAGGCGATGTTTTTTTTTATTCTCAGTTTCCTGTGCTTAGCTGACTTACTGTTTCCTTCCGCCCTGTTAGTTTGATGCCAAAGATCTGCCATTCGCCAAAGATTTTCTGTTTTTTGCCCGTTCTCTGTAAAGCTCAGAAATGGTTGTGCAGGAAAATTCCAGTACTTCAGTATATTATGAATATTCAGACTATTTCAGAATACTCAACACTACTATCCATGTCATGAAATGTACATGCACTGAATACATGTACCTAACAAAGTGTTTTTAGGTGTTATCATATTGTCAGCAGTGGATAATTAACCAGTCTGAAGCACAACCACACAGACAATAGGACAGAGAACATGCACGGATCAAAGGAAATGAAATATGAAAATAAAAACCCAAACAAAACCTTAATACAGCAGCACAGAAGTTGGTATCCTGAGAAACAACAATAATAATAATATGAAGTAATCACTGATTAAATTTGGGAAAAATATAATCCAGGGACGTGTGATGTTTATTAATCAGTCAAACCTGGAAAAAAATAACTTGGCTACAGTAGATAGAAATGAGGATAAGGAGTTTATTTTAAACTAACATATGGCACAGAAATATATTAGTCACCATTAGAATCCTGTACAAACGTATACAGATGTTGTAGAGGCTTTTATTATACCAGACTTTAATATAAAGAAGGCAAAAGGATCAATGATGGACTTTCAGTATACACAGGAAAATGGTTGCAATATTATTAACTGTCCAGTGGGTTGAAGACACGAGACCATTAAGATCAGTCATTTGTTCAGATTCCAGTTCATCGTTAGTAAGTTTACAATGCAACCATGCAGAAAGTCGACCAGAAATCTTAATAGAAACTCAACAAACACCATGCAGAGTAAACATAACGGGACTAATGATTAACTTTTGTATGGCCACCAGCATATTATAGTGTTAAGGGAAATGAAATGGCAGATAAGGCTGCAAAAAAGAGCCACTGGAAAAAGATTAGTGCAATTAATTATCAGCTTTATTAAAACAGAAATAAAAAAATCAATTAGAACAGAAAATAAAGGAGAGATTGCAAAAATAATGGGAGAAAGAAAGGAAAGGACGGTGGTTTTATAAAATCCAAAGGAAAACTGGAGAAATGAGAAACAATCATTTCACGTCTCAGATTTGGGCACGCTGGGATAAACGGAACACTTTTCATTTTAGGGAAACATTGCACCGGAATATGCGAGCGCTGTGCTGAGACAGTAGCTCATGTTATATTACACTGACAGGAGTGTGAGGAAGAAAGAGAAGACAACTGATTCAAAACCTAAATACAATCAAACTCAAACTAGATTTAATTGGATTTGCTTAGAAATAACTGAAGTACTAAAAGCTATCGAGCAATATTTAACTAGCATGATAGGATCTAATCCTTAAGTGACAGTCTGGTCTGCTCTCCATACCAGTTGGTGGCGGTAATGCACGAAGTCGTTGTTTGTCAACCGCCAATAAACACCAAGAAGAAGAAGAAGAAGAAGAAGAAGAAGAAGAAGGCGCTAACTTGAGCTCCGGTTGGTGGCGCTAATATACCATAACCACACTGATGACGACGACGAAGAAGAAAATAATGGAGCGCTCTCTCTTGATTTCAACATCGTTTTTGTTTTGTTTTTTATTTCTATTTCATCTATTCATAAATAACAGATATCAGTGGTTTTTATTATAATTTTGT